TTTACAAAACTGCCATCTAGCACCCGTGAGCCAATCAAAATGACTTCAAGCAAACGTGTGCCATGGCTTTCAAAATTAGGGCAGCATTAGCAGCTACTAGTCCTTCAGTTCCAAAGTTAAAATATTCAAAGGACAATTAAAAGAATATAGAATTTCAAACATATCTATCTATCATGAGTGACTACAAAAAGACAGCTTGTTTCCCTGAAGATGTGTGTGGCAGAGTTTCAACAGGTACACAATATTTAATATCTGATGTGAACAAATAATATCTCAATATTTATTACACATTATCATGTGTTCAACATCTTGGCAATTTGCAACAGAAGCAAAATTTGTATACTAGAATACAACTACCAAATTGAATATAAATAAGATAATCGGATGTGGTGACTTCTAGATTCATTCTCACCTCTGCCAGAAACAGCTATATTAATGTCTGTATTTCCCTTGTTCTTCACTCAGACAAATAATCCTAATGAGGAATATCTCGATTCCTTAAAGAATAAATAACACTTTACATCAGTGCACCATGGATGCTGTTAACAGTTCAGCAGAAATGTTTTTGTGTTTAATATCCCTTTTGAGACAATATTCATCAGGATGTTTACAAAGCTAGATTGATAATAACAGCATCTGGCACATCACGGAACTGGAAATGTGGAGTCAATGGGATCTTGAACAACTTTAGCCACTTCTTAACTATCGTAAAATGGCAATCAGTGTTTCAATGAGGTGGGGCTTTGAGGCTTGCTTATATATAGTATCTGAACGTACGAACCCCCTAAAACAAACATTTAACATGATGGTGATGACTTTGGTGTTTATATTTTAACAGTCAGCACAAAATAAAAAGGATTGTGATGCTGTTCAAGAGTGTGCCCACTGATCAGGTGTAAAGTGTCATGTCTTTCCATCAGGCACGTTCAGTTCAGAATACTTCATAGAGTAACAATGAAATCTACTGAAAACGCCACAACATTTTTGACAGTGGGCTCGAAAGCTCTTGGCAAAGACTACAAAAAAATACTGGGATTCTATTGTAACACAAGATACAGGGATACACGGTAATGACATAGAGTATCTGGTATCTCAGTATCTACTTGTTCAGTACTACTCATTGTATCAAAAAGAAATAGGTATACATACATTTTGGTCTCTGACAAAAGCATTGGAGTCAACTAGTCCGAACTTGTCTCAAAATCCTTTTCAGTAGAGTTTAGTGTTTGTGCATATGAACTATTATTAGCTGTGCATACCGGACCAAACAGAGTTGTAATAGATTCAGACAAGTGGCTCAAGTTGCAGACTCTGTATATATTATGATTATGTTTGACAAAAGTTGTACAGGAGAGACTTGGGTACAGTGTTTGAAGGATGGAAGACAACGGCCCTTTTCACAACACTAATGGTAATGCCTCAATATTTAGCCAGGCTGAAGGAGTCCTTCAATTTCTAAAACTGCAGTAGTTAATATAGACATGACAAGTTCATGCCATCAAGCTACACTGCCACCACTGCTAACTTCAGTTCAAACAAACAGTTAACCGTACACAGGATCGAATGACCAGAACTAGGTGATTTTCCTGATACTAAACATCTAGCTTTGGTACATAAGAAGTACAAAAACATTGCATAATACCAGACCAAATATTCTTCATACACTGGTCTTAGATTCTGGCACAATCAGATATTATATTCATGACTTCTTGTCAAGTCCTACACATCAAGCATAAATGGAATGCCATCTTAGATGATTAATGTTATTCATGCTTAACAGCATTCATACTTTTAACAGCGCATGGAATGGCAGTATTGCTCATGCATACACAAGTAGTGTTCGTTTTGTATCACTGAAGAGTATATAATGAATTCTGTTCTCCAATGTGTCCAAAGCTTTATCTATCCAAAGCTCTGAACATACTTGTTCAAACCTGCCAGTTCTGGCCATAATTGATATGGTTCGGTTTTTATATTTAAACAAACTGGAAACAGTTACAAAACAGGAATATGGATTGTTGAATGATGTGATCACATGATACAAAGAAGGAACATGTATCTGCACAAGGACATTTTCAAACATACCACTTTGTGCAATTGTTACTTAAATATTCTGACAAAAAAACAGAATAAGCTATCAAGAGTAAGGCTGCCATTTGATGGCAGGGACAGTCAGAATGCCTGGACAATAGCCTATGAAAACCTGGAGTCATCTAGATATGAGCACAATTTAGAGTCATTTCTTGTCTACAAGACATTGATAACAAAAAAAAGAAAGAAAATATGTTGATACAAATAAGTCTTATAAAAATATATAATTATTTTGGATACAAATTGTATCAACTACACAGGATTTCTGCGTCGTGTGAACCCTGAGAATTGGCTTCACATTTGTCCCCATTGTTGGAAATTAGACCAAGGCCATGAGAAAAGCAAGTGATTGCATGGAGCAGAGCTCAATCCAATCAGCAGTTTGCCGAAGACATACAGATCTAAGTTTGTTGGTGTCCTTGACTGGCGAAATTTGAACACAGCAGAAGAAACCCATCTCATTTGGTTACTAGCCCTAATAACAATATGTGGAGGAGAACCTTCGAGATTATTATAAGTACCATGGCTACTTGAACAACTGAGAACCGTCTGAAGGTGCAGTGCCAGTTTCTTACAGTCGTCGGGAACTGTCAGATAAACATTGTCACAAGGTTAACACATGAATACAATCCTATATTGAAATGAAGAATTGCAATTAAGAAACATCAGGCTACCATCACATAAGCTGGAGGCATTGGTTATTGAACAATGATGACTGATGCTTTAGAAACAACTTCTGAAGTTCACATATATGACACTGAGCACATAAAAAGGTATGGATGGACAAACTAATTTCCCCCAAACAACTGTTAATGCTTGCAGTGATTGCTTCTACAGTTTTTGTTAGTTTGTTGTTGAATGAAACTCTGAAATATGATGGAAGCATTAATCAAACTAGGGCCACAAAAACCAGTGATTGATATCATGAAGCAACATTTCATGCCACTTTTGTATTGTGACACAGAATTATGCAGGTCTCTGAGCCTGTTATTGCTTGGGACCAATTCTAACCTGGACTGGAGCTTTTACACTAATTCTCTGAATTCCCTTCACCAATACCATAATCTCAGATAAATAACATGAACCTGATTAATAACATACTACTGTACATAATGACATACATTATGGTTATAATAATACAATGAAACTCAGTTGATAACACATATTAGTCTGCAATACAGTGTCATGACAAAAATTATCGATATTTCCAGTTTTACGAGAAATGCTCAAGATCTTGTTCATAACATATCAGAACACAATCAATAAGCAATATAATATGTATCCAAGACTGATTCAACCACTGCACAATATTCACAATTTCCAAGTAGTGAATCATGAGAGGCACAACCCTTGTTGGTTGGTTGGTTTGTTGTTTTAGGCCGCACTCAGCAATATTCCAGCTATATGACAGCGGTCTGTAAAATAATCGAGTCTGGACCAGACAATCCAGTGTACCCTTGTATTATGATATGCATTGCAATTTGTATGCATCACACAGCCCTCATGATACAGATCTCATCACAATCCTTGCTTTGTTCCTACTTCTACTTCATAACACACACACATTTAATGAAGGATGTGTCCAATATCTTTTTTGTGTGTAATTCTACATCAAATAGCATTGCTGATCCAAGCCATATTTCAAGCATTACCAATGAAAACTATGGCTACTGATAACAATAAATGAAACCTAATAAATGTCATTAAATATATATAATATAGTCACATGATCAATGTAACAAAGTTATCCTGTCAAAAACAAATCAACAAAACAGTGAAAATGTCAGTAAAAATACATATCTTTCACTACCAAACACAATAATTGTTGAATATGAAGGAGCATATGTTTCACTGGAAACACTGACTTCATACAACAGTTTTTCATAAGCATAGCATTTTCTGTCAATCAATATTCAACATTCATATTATCCAGACCAACCGAGAAACTGAGAAATCATCTGGAAGTTTGTGAGAGTTAAATAGGGACAGTCAAGTTTTACAAGTCTGTCTATCCAACAATCAAAAGGTCACCAACACAATTATTTCACCAATATACATAGTTACAAACATTGATCACAGAGTAGCACAGATTATCCAAATCAGCACAGACCTAGGTTTTTCCATTCAGACGAAGAATGTTAACATGGTTAATGCTGTCTTACTCTTTTCACAAGTCATGAGTACAACTTAGCTTGGAGAAGAAATGAGTTGTTGGCTGTTAATATTTTAAAACGAAAAATACTCAAAAACTGACAAACAGGGAGTATTGTTTTGCACAAATTCACGCCAATTTCTGTTAGCTGGGGGAGTGAGAACCGACTGCCCTGCATAATCGATAACATTATGTAATCAATGTTTTGGGCCATATTTCAGAGTAAATATCACTATTTCCGACACTTCACACGATCCACGAGAAATTATTGAAATGACTTTATTCGGTGACAAACCAACCAAAGTTATTCTGTCTTCAACCAACACCATTAACAAATGAACACGTGCTTTGCACATTTTAATACACCTACATCTCTGTCACGGACACAACATTATTAACGCAAGAAACCACAAAATGTACGCTTGTGCGACTAAGGGAAATCAAATTTGACCCATATTGATAAAGCGAAGCGAGCACATGTCAAGCAATGGTAGGGCTTCGATCACAGACGAACCTTGAATACGCCATGTTTATTGCAAACAGGAGCAGTATGGTCTGTCATAGCCGCCGAACTAAACATTGATCAAAACACCAAAATACTGCAGATATAACATAAAACCATGCATAGTACATGTCAACTATATGTATCGTTTCTTTTGCGCCAAATGTCAATCATTTCTTATACCCAGACTGGCTCAAAATGGCCGAGGGTACAACCGAACGGCCACAGCCACAAAAATAGTATGAGGTGACTTACCGTTGAAAATGGTTATTCACTGAATCTTCTGTACACTTTTCGGGTAGGTTTCTAACCAACAAATACCGTGTTTCTCGAACCATTTCTTCTTTAACTACATGGTTTAATGAAACAAACGCGTTCCATAAACCTATCCGCCAGCGTGAGTATACATCGTTGGATCGTTTCGACGCGCTAGGAATAGCACACAGAGAGAAGTGACGTCATAGCTTTCAGATTCTGTTCCGACCTTTCATCCAGCTATAGCCTGTTTCAATAAATACTCCCCCGAGGCGGCGGCGTTGTATTTGTTCATTGAGCTCTGAAAGAGACGTGCCAGAATATATTATCCTGTTTACCACAGTTTTTCTCGGTGTTTAAAACACTGTATCTGTTTCTTTCTGCAATATATACTTTGGTAGTGTGCCTTTCTTTCTGTATATGTTCAGGCTTAGACTACACTTGTGCGAAATATGCAATGGATTTCAATAACTCCGCCGAGACGAAGAATATCCAATACCGTAGATAATCTATTAAACGTCAAAATTATCAACTTAAACAAATAATGACAAAATCTTTATTAACGAACCTATTTATTGATGGTACTACTAGTGTACTTCTATAAATCAACACGAAACTTTATGATGATAATAATTCTGATGAAATTCGTAATTAATAATTGAGATTAACCGATAATAACAACACCCATTCAACTGACAATTCCCAAACTATGTAAGTAATTATATTCTTCATAGGTCAGTTCATTTCTTTAAATGCGACTAGACTCGGGACTATTGGAAGAACTAGAAAATGAATATTCAAGGCCATGAAACACCACTTTCCGTGTCTGCTTACTTAAAGTTAAATGGGGGGCACGGGTGGGCCAGTCGTCTAAGGCGCCGCGATTCGCTGTGCAGATTCGCTGTGCAGATTCGCTGTGCAGAGTTGCTTCCCTTGGGCACGCCAGAAACCTATGGTTGTGGGTTCGAATCCCGGTTCGCCCCGATTATGTTTCTAGGTTTGTCAGCACCATACCCGTGCTCGTGGGTTTCACCGAAGTGGTAAACGTCTGAGACCTGCATCACTTCGGGCTTTCCTCCCACATTAAGCTGACACACCGCGATATAACTGGAATACTGTTAAAAGCGGCGTTAAACCCAACTCACTCACTCACTCAAAGTTAAATGTGCAATTACCAATCTACAGTTTCATGATTACCCTAATGCAACAAGACAGCATGTCTGTTCCACACATGGACCTAATAACAGTGTTACACCTTGGCAGAACATGGGCTCTAGGCTTTAAAGCATTAGGGCTACTTTGAGGCTGAAAAACGATGGAGTGGGCCATGACTACTGACCAATGGTTAGCCTACTCCCCACCCGACCACTTCCTGTATGACACAGTGATTATGATTATGGCTGAAAAATATATGATATATGCCTACATTGTGATTGACGTGAAACCCGCTCTCCCCCGCCCCGTCTGGTACGTTTCATTTGTTGTCACCCCCGACGTGATATTGATGGAATATTTATGAAAGTTGTAAAAACCTGATTCACTCTTTGATGTACCATTTTAGAATTTACATCAAACGTTTGGATATATGGAGATATGAACGTAAAAACAGGTGTGCACACAGCTTAAATCTACGTTTAGTTAACAAATAACAATAATTACTTCAATCATTGAATAATTAAAACACAGAAATTTAAACAAAACAACGAAATACGTGACAATGGAGCACATTAAGACCCATCCATCCTATTATCAGACAACAAGGAAGCCGTGCTTTCTGGAAGCATAAACGCTAAACCTTTGCTCGGTTTGCCAATAAAATGTCATGGAATCACTCGCAATTGAGTCATTGTCATCTGCATAATTAATATTTTTATGAATATACGCTGGTCACACCACATGAGGTTTGAAGTGCACGCACGCACGAACGCACACGTGTACTGAATGGTTTAGGGTTGCGACGGGTAACTCGGGTACCCGGGTCGGGTGGGTACTGGGTAGGACCGGGAACCCACCGGACTACCCGGACCGGTGGTTAGTCACGTGATATATTGTTTAATGACTAAAATTATCTGGAACTCTATGGGTACACTACAAGTCACTAATGTTTGCTTTCCTTTCTGACTATGCACCCATTTCTTCTGACTTGTCATATGGTTGAATAAAGATATAACTTAAGTCAACTTCAGTGTATGCATGACCAGATTGTTAAATACATGTATCTAAATACGTTTTGCCAGGGCTATGCTAAAAAAGTTCCCAATCGGACATTTTGAGACATCTCCTGAGACCTTCAGTGGGTACCGGGTGGGGCGGGTGAGAGGGCGGCGGGTACCCGGGTAGTAAATTTGGACTCGTCCCAGCCCTAGAATGGTTGCTAACCATGTTTAACATATGCTCGAAAAACTGCTGACGCAAAGACGTATAAATCCTCTGTTGTTATCCCTGTTGTTTCCTTTAATTCCGTTTGATGTAACACCTATACAGTTCGTATGTGGCTCTTCTTAGAAATCGAGGATAAAGAATAAAGCGATTAGCTAATTCAAAGACACGTTCAGAAATTACACCCCAATCCCGGAGTCTATGATAAAAGTACATTACGTGTTGGCACGCCTGGTGTGTGGTTAGTCAATGAGACACATGATCTGCGATTTCCTCGTGCCACCATGCACGCATGCGCACATCCGTTCAGTTATTACCGATCACGCATTGAGAAGAAACACATCCCAACGTATTAACCTACATACCAATATGTAATAGTTCTCGACTGCAACTGTGCATGGTCTCCAGCTTCATGTGGGAGGATGGGTGGCACGGTCGTATAAAGCACTCAATTCGTTGTGCAGAATTGCGTCCCTTAGTCGACCCACAATCCAAAGACTGTGAGTTCAATCCTAGTGATTCATGGTTCGTACCAGATACCCGTCCTCGAGAGTGGAAACAGTCTTGAGCCCGCTCTTTGTGTGTGTGCAATGGGCGCTTGTGCTCCTTAAACTGACACGTCGTTATGTAACTGAAACATCGTCGACACGTCCCCAGTTAGGTTTGGTTGCGTGTCCAGGTGTGTATTGTTGCTTATGATATCAATCATTTATTGTCAAGACCAGACTTGTTAATTGACAGGCCGCAGTCATGATATAACTGGAATATTGCTAACTGCGGAGTTAAACAACAAACAAACAAAACAAACGTTCAACCGAACCCACCCGATTTCCCTGTTTCGGTGTTGTGTGTATGGATGAGTATATTTGTTGCCATAATAGTTTATGGGGGAAGTAGAAAACATCACCCCCTTCAGATCTGTCTTCACAAAAAGACACGTCCAACAACGAAAGGGTTCATGTTCATTTTTTAAATCTTTGAGGTTGTTTTTTTATCATACTCTGGCTGTGTACTCACTGTCTTTTATTTAACTTGACATAGATATCAATGTTTTGGGCGGTGGATTTCTTTGGCAATGAAAATTCCCAAAATGGAACCGAGCCCTCGTAATCTATATCGTTTCATACATGCCTTAAACTACCGTTAATGGGTATTGGAACATCATAACAGCATTAATATGTCGCATGTTAGCGTAAATGAATATTGTTTTACGACACTGCCATCTACACCATGGCGGCTTGTTAATAATCGAGTCTGGGGCCAGACAAACCAGTGTCTGAAAACAAGAACAAAAATCCCCGCCATTCGGACACGATGACATACAGTAAGCCAGGTCACAGAGCTGACCTTCAGATCTCTTACGACCAACCCTGTTCCGCAAAGCGACCTTAGCCCTAAGACGATCGTGACTCCCATACTTGGACCAAATGCATGCTGTGACCCTGAATTTCCACAATGTCTGGCTAATAAAGATGACATAAAAATGGATCGGTTTCCTCAATATTCACGATGAGGCAATGTGTGTCGCCGGATCGAGGATTTTGGTTTGGGTCAATTTATTGGTTTGGATATTATTTGGACACATGCAATTTTGTGACGGAACACAAATCTTGTTTTTCATCACAATACATTAGCTGCTTAATATTTGCTCCTCTTTCTTCTCGGTCGAATGATATTTATTTAAAAAGCCCAATCTAACAGAAAAGATATTTGTAAAATCGTACCTATTATTTTCCGAGATAAAAAATATTATTTACCTTTGTGCATTTTACAATGAGTGTTACGGTAAATTGCGTGTCCGTTCACCGGGTCTCCGTTTCAGTCTCAGTACCCCAACAGGACGCTGTGTCCCATTCAAACAACACGGTGTGTCAATAATACTTACTAGACACTCAGAATCTCTTCATAAGGGAAACATACCATTTTAAAATATTGATTCCAGCAAACAGCATGGGCAGGCAAGCATGCAGGTAAATTATGATAAAATGATCCACAGAATATGCGTCACAAACTGACTGTGTTGGAGATGTGTGACAAATACAACATTTTAGTGTAAAAAGACAATTGGAATACGTCAACGAAGTTGCAATAACTGTGACCAATACTTTGTTTGTAGACGAGGAAATGAAAATACGAGCGAGGTTTTACCTGGCCCATCTCCGATATAATTTGAAACAGGCTATACACCTCGTGATTTCGGACGAGACTGGCCTACTTTCTGTGTCCAACAAACAATACTGCTAAATTAGCTCCCGAGGTTTGGATTATAGCTTTGATTGTGTACAGTAGCTGTTTTATACACAGGTGTACACATAAACTGCTCGAAACAATGGAACAAGTGGATTTCGCCATATGCGGCGGCCGAATCGTTGATCCTGCTACTGGCCTTGATGGAAGGGGGAGTGTAGGTGTACGCAATGGGAAAATTGCAGTGATCGACATGGACTCGTCCGTAACCTTTGACCCTCAGCATGTGGTCTCCGCTGACGGGTATATTGTGATTCCAGGGATGATCGATTGTCACGTGCACGCCTATCAACATGCAACTCCGTTAGGCATAAATATCGATGAGAGTTGTCTTGCACGTGGCGTCACGACTGCTGTCGACGCAGGCTCGGCAGGTGGGTGTGGCCCTTCTCTCACGCTTGTCGATTGCGAGAGATAATTACTTATCTTTGGGGAAGCCTACTTATGTCAAAGAGAATGATGCAAGTTGGAAGAATTATGTGATTTGGGTATTACATTTGTATCGGATATTCGCACAAGACAGGAGATCAATCCAGTATTCTACATGCAATAATGTTCTCAATGAAAGCAGCTCAAACCAGGTGCTGACAAATGTACCATCATTTCGCAAGCACGTTGGTACATATCGCAATTCCGATATTATAAGGTATTATTAGGTGTTATAAGGTATTATTATTATTTAAGCAAAGCAAATTTTGGAGAATACAATATTTCAACACCGCAGAATGTTTCAACCAGTGCTAACTATCACTAACGCGACAACTACGGCTACATCTACTACTACGGTGACTACTTGTACTACCACTGCTACTGCCGCTGACGATGCTAGGTTACACGTGAGCTCAACTGCTGCAAGTAAATGGCACACTAGCCTTGCTCCAAGTCACGAAGACCATGGATGTGTATTAATTGTGTACTTATAATGGGCAAGTCTTGATAAGCGGACAGTACACAGCCTTTTTGGTGGACAACTTGTTCTTAATATTTATATTATCTAGGAATTATGATTTAAACTAATAATCATTTCCTTAGAGACTTGTGCAAGTCTAATGGCACCCCCATACCTACGTACTATTATGTTGAATACTTACCAAGGGAATTTAGTTCAGTTACTAAAGGAAGTCTCACGTCTAAAGGTCAAGATCCTGTAAATAAATTGCAAGTGATTCACCTCACCTCATTCATTGACGTATTTACATTAATTGAATTCAAAACTCGTTACGTGCATGACGCATGAAGGTAAAACAGGTGTGAACATTGTAAATCCGGTGTTTACGTTAAAAACCCATAAACGATAAACGCAATTCTTAAAAAGGCCATTGTTTCGCTGATGTTAAGCACTATGACGTTAAACATTGTGACGTCACACTTTTAACAGAATCCCCAGATTATGACGTAACAATTGCTTTTAATATCCTGCCGACAAGGCTGTAAACGAACCAATGACAGGCCTCAAATTCTGCAATAACCTATCAAACGCGAGTTAAATCGGCCATGCTTATTAGAGTTACAATGGTCCTTTATCATCGTCGCTCTCACCTCGATCTACATTCTTTGTCAGGTTTCCGATTTAAGTGTGGATCGGGTGGATCGGGATCAGATTTTATGACACTGCTGATCTCGAGTGATCGTGCCCCGATTCCCTGCATCGCTGTTCCCGTTGTAAATTTCACTTGACCCATTAATATGTTTACAACACATCGACCATATTAACACTAACTGTTGCGTAGCCAATTTATCAAATGGGTACAGTGTGTGTCATCTGTTGTGCTTTTTTTTTTATTTACAGGTATGAATGCGTCGTAAAATTACATACTCACTCACTGCCACTAATGTGACAATCTGTTGCTCAAAGCACTCGCTTATCCCGATCGAGACCAAGGTTCAATCACTAACGTAGGTACAGAAACCCCCAAAACGGCGTAAAGCCTGACTTACTCACGAAAACTAACATATGTTTGTTAACTAACTCACTATCCTCACGTTTCATGGAAATGATAGAATCTCGTATCTTATTTATGTCATTTCATATCCCAAGCCACACTCGCGGTTGCGTTCCATTCGCGACAAGTTACAGCACTTAACGTGGCAGTTTACATGACGAGGAAGATAATGGTCATTATTTGCATTTACCGCACCGCGTGGTTGGAACGGACTGCTTACAATACTGCAGCTGTGCCTGCGTCGGACAGCATCTGTTGGTGCACCGTGCTCAACCTACATTGCCACATCATCTAATACGTTCGACAAACCGCTTGGCCTGTATCACCAGTGTGTGTGTGTGTGTGTGTGTGTGTGTGTGTGTGTGTGAGAGAGAGAGAGAGAGAGAGAGAGAGAGAGATGAATGAATAAATTCACCTATTTTATTAACTAATTCATCAAATATACATTTATATTTTTAAATACAAAATTTAACATATTTTAAAGTAATTAAATATAGTTGTGCGGGTGACATACTTGCCACCAGATGTCCACGTTTGAGAAATAATTGAATAAATAAATACATTTTGAATAAATAATTACGCAAAGACTTTTAAAATAAATAATGAGAGTCTTATTTTGTTTTAATAATTTCAATAAAATTGAAGAGGCGGACTAGGATCGTTAATACCTTATAGTAAATGCTCTTTTCAATAATATAACTATATCAAATGACCTTACGTTGTAGATTTAGAAGCTACAGCAGGCACTATTGATGTGGCGTCTCCAATTTCTATCCAATATTTAAAGAAGATAAAGAACAACCGTGCAAGTTTAAAGAAGGTCATGTCATACTACTAGGCATGCCAACACAGTCTATTTAAGTCATGTTTATATTTAGAGCTTATTCACTTCCCTGACGAAATCCTTTGGTGTATATATACATCTATCTGAACCATATTTTCCGCAGGATTGTGTACATACTGACTTCGTCAACCAGCTTTTGATCACACATTTTGACATGCACACACTCCTTTTCAAGAAACGGATAGTCACAGTCCATAATGTAAAGTTGACAAAGACAGAAGCTGCGAAGCGCCTGTAAAATACAACCAGTATTGCTGACGTGGCTTTGTTTTGCGTTATTTGCTGTGTTTTGTTCGTGTTGAGGTTTGTTGAATACTAGTATATGTATGAAAAAAAATAACTGCTGCAGCAGCTACTACTACTACTGTTGCTGCTGCTGCTACGCCTTCCACCACTACTGCTGCTGCTACGCCTACTACTAGTGCTTGTACTGCCGCGATTAGCAGCAACATTGCTGATGCGGCTTAAAGTAATATTTACTCATTCACCCACAACTACTACTACTACTACTACTACTACTATTACTACTACTACTACTACCTCTCTCACAATTACAACTACTACTGATGCTGCAACTACTAACGCTACTACTACTGCAGTAATTGCTGCTACTACTACTACTACTACTACTACTACTACTACGCCTACTCTCACAATTACAACAACTACTGATGCTGCAACTACTACCGCTGTTATTATTACTACTACTACTGCTGCTGTTACTACTACTACTACTACTACTACTACTACTATTACTACAACAACAACAACTACTAATATTAATAATAATAATCCTATTGCTGCTCCACAAGTACGAAATCATAAAGTCCATTTATGATTCCATTATTATTAGTATTATTATTATTATTATTACTTCCCCGGTCAATGGATCAGTGAGCACTCAACAATCATGAGGCACAAGCTGTCTTGCTGATGAAGTTCAATCACACAAGTCCTAATCCATAGTGAGTGATCATTATTTCCTTTTGCAGAAACAAGAAAAAAATAATTAACAGCTTCAGTCAAAACGAACAATAAAAATATAACATATCGTTTCAAAATCTCATAAAAACTTTCAACACGCGTCTGGACCACAATTAACAGTCTTACTCTCCGAAATGTGTGATCAATGTATAAACTGTCTCAAAATACCTTTTGGCGACGTGCGACGATTGCGTAACATGCAGGCAACGTCGCCAGTGACGACTGTCTACGTGCATCAATGGTGACATTATACGCGGGGAATGCGTCCGTGGAAACTGAGCCAAAGCTAAATGTTACACAATATTCTCTGGAGACCGTCATACTATACTCAATGTAAGCACGTGTCGCCACATCCGCAATTACCTGATGTCGACAAAGGTTACGCGGCACCGGGAATGGAGACAGTGTCTGCTTTTCGGGAGTATTTTTCTCGAGGATGCTTGCGATATTTCCTGCCAGGCAACCAACGTGGCAGCATCTACCACCGAAACCGATGACATATTGTGGAGACAATGTTTTGTTTCATGTTCATATGCTTGACAATATTTTCCTAACTACAAACGACCTGTCAAATGTTTCAGAATCGTGTTATAGTGAGTGTAGTGGTGGTCCGGTGGTAGAGCGTCTGCCCGGAGAGGGGAAGGTCGGGGGTTCGAGTTCAATCGTCGAACCAAAAGGCGTTAAAAAATGGTATTTGTTGTTACCCTGCCTGGCGCTCGTCATTAAGCGGGTAAACAAGAAGTGGTCTGCTCGAAGTCAGTGGACCAGTGAAGATCCGGGTAAAGAATAGGTCTTTACAACCCATGCTTGCCGAAAGAGACCGCCGTCATATAGCTGGAATATTGCCGAGTGCGGCGTTAAACAACACACAAACAAACAGTATACTGTGTCTGAGTGGGATACTCATGGTATCTCAGTGCACGGGCTAACACACACTCACATACACACACACACACATGCAGTAATCTTTACGCGACGCTAAACCCCATTTCACCTCTCGGGTGGTCGCTGACGTGGTTGTCTGCGTGGCATCGTGACCCAGGCGTTGATCGTTGCTCATGCTTTCACTCACTGATTTGTCTGCTCCAGACTCGATTATTTACAGACTGCAGTGATATAGATGGAATACTGCTGAGTGCGTCTTTTAGTGATTTTCAATCCCCCACAATATGCCCGTGTAAAATAGCGTGTACATTTACATACGCAGAATAACACACGGGAGTATCACGGGCGTAGACCGCGTGCTTGCAACTCTGCAGTCTTTTTCAGGCGTTTTGTTGCCGACGATATATTTAGAGGAGAGTCGTGCTCAAGGTTCAGTGTTCTCTATCATCAGAAAAATAGGTCGTGTCAGAATGCGTGTTGTGCACGTGCACTATGTTCATATGCTGCACGTGTGACTTGCACGCATGCAAACCCAAATATATGGTCGTGACGTAACTGCTGATGCAAGACAGTGTTATATATAGGTGGCTGTGAATTGACGTCTGCTGCAATATTACAAGTTGTGTTAGCAATGTGGATGGATGTCACGCAAAGACAAGAGCCTCGAGCGTTTGTCTTATCGCTGGTGTAAACATAATACGTCCAAGCTAAACTGGAATATTATTTAACGAAATACCTGTATTTTGTAAATTGCCTCCATATTACTGCAACAATGCCATGCTACCCACACTGTCAGTTTCAGTGTGCCGTGAATGAGTGAACGTGTGTGTATGTGTGTGTGTGTGTGTGTGTGTGTGTGTTTTACACCGCAAATAATCGAGACAAACTAGTGGTTGATATTATGAATAACGTCGGGGTAAGATGACTCAAATTCAGCCAAGCCATCGAGCCAGAAGACCCGACATCCTATAAAGATTATGATATTAATAATGTTAAATGATTTAAGATTCATGTGGTGTATGTCCCCCATCCAAGACCCGTGAAGATTCCGGGGTAGAATAGGTCTTCAGCAACCCATGCTTGCCGTAAAAGGTGACTATGCTTGTCGTTAAAGGCGACTCACGGGATCGGGTGGTCAGACTCGCTTTGATGCATGTCATCGATCCCAATTGCGTGGATCGATGCTCATGATGTCAATCACTGGATTGTCTGGTCCAGACTCGATGATTTACAGACCGCCGTCATATAGTTGGAATATTGCTGAGTGCGGCGTTAAACAACAAACCAACCAACCAACCATTTATATTAATCGCCACTTACGAAATGAAATAGTTCTTGAGGCTTATTCTAACCCGGACTATCGCGGGTTCTGTTCCATGAATTGGGGTGGGTACCCTTCAAAGACCCACATGTGAGAACAGCGTGTGAAGTATATATGATATTGAAATAACTTATTGGTGTGACCCGTGAAGATCAGGGGTAGAACAGGTCTTCAGCTTGCTTGTCGTAAGAAGCGACTAACGGGGTCGGGGGGTCAGCCTTGCTGACTTGGTTGATACGTATTCCGATTGCGTGGATTGATGCTCATGATATCAATCACTGCAATGTCTGGTCCAGACACGATTATATACAGACCGCCGTCATTGCTGTGTGCGGCGTTAAACAACAAACAAACAAACAAAATAAATTGGACATCGTGAATGTGTCATGGCAAAAATATTTCAGTGAAATACTAGGAAGCGTTTTAGCTTCGTTTCAACAAACATTGTGGGGCTGTCGGGTAGCCCAGTGGTTAAAGCGTTCGCTCGTCACGCCGAAGACCCGGGTTCGATTCCCCACATGGGTTCAATGTGTGAAGCCCATTTCTGGTGTCCCCCGCCTGGATATTGCTGGAATATTGCTAAAAGCGGCGTAAAACTTCACTCACTCACAACGGATACATGTTAAGGGAGTTGTAGTCGGTTAAGTTCATCGATTCGGTCGCTCATGAACAATACGGAACTGACTTAGACATAGCATCGTGTTTAATACATGATATGGGACACTGACGCTGCATGATTTCTAAATTAGCATTCCGTTGCCAAGCGCGTATGCACTTCGCATTCTGTTGAAATGACTGCGCATATGAGAAAAAGGGCTTCCCCTTCATCACAGCTGTACGTGCAGAATGAACACGTGGCACGCAACTGCACCATCTTTGTTCGACGTTCAGTGCAAGGTTCAAGAGGCACAGAATTTGATCCACCTCGGCTGATTTGAGCCTGCGTGTACTTGAACAGGTCGCTGCCTGATTGGACTTGATGTTTGATATTCTTATGAGATTCTTAGATTTAATTTACGTACATCACGGGTGGCCCAGTCGTCTTACCCGCCGGAATTTGCTTTGCAGAGCTGTGTCCCTTGGACACGCCAGAAAGCTATGATCGTGGGTTCGAATCCCGGTTCGCCTCGATTATGTTTTTAGGTCTGTCAGCACCATACCCGTGCTCATGGAAAACTGGAATACTATTGAAATCGGCGTTATATATGACATCTAAACGTAATGTAGACGGAATTATACACTTCATATGTAGATGTCATATATACCCATATGATATAAACAAGGACAGTATTCACATGCAGTTAAGTGCGCTGTCATGGTGGCAATTTATATGTGGTTGTTCGTAAAGAAAATACGGTTGACAGATTAATAGACAGGGTTGCGAGGGTGTTTTAAATGAGTGAGTGAGTTTAGTTTTACGCTGCTTTTAGCAATTATCCAGCAATATCACGGCGGGGTACACCAGAAATGGGCTTCACACATGCAGTTTAACCATGTCGGGAATCGAACCCGGGTCTTCGGCGTGACGAGCGAACGCTTTAACCACTAGGCTACCCGACCGCCCCTGTTTTAAATTAAAGGATATCAACTCTACTAATATCCCACAGGTGCGTCTACATTTCCTGGATTAAGGAAGTTCATCGCGGAGAGAAGCGATACCCGGCTTCTGGCGTTCCTTCACATCGCATCCCATGGACTGGCGTCGGCGGGCTGTTCGGCCGGGGGTAGGCCATTTTCATTCACGTAGATGAGTCAAGAGACCATTAAAAAGTCTGTTTTGATATATACTCCTGACCTATTCGCAAAAGTAACCTTGATACAAATATATCAAATACAGCCCATGCAAGTCTATAATGTTTGGCAAGTCTTGATTTCTGCAGTATCTCTGGGCTCCTTTTTATTAAATTTCTATTAAGATAAACTAAAGAAATTCTGTGCTGAGTTGAAGAGAGGAGCGAGGGAGCTGATGATGTCACTTCCGAAAGGAAGCTATGGAAGCGAATGGGTCAAGGGTATATAGAAATACAACACCCTGGATAATCCTGGATTACTTTTAGAATCCAACCATTAATATCAGAGGCTGGACCTCCATTCTTTTGGTTTTGGGGCAGTGTGATTGCTTCGTGGTTAAAGCGTCACGCAGAAGGGACGTGTTCGAAGCCAATTAAATTACTTACGATGTAAACGATACTAAATCACGCCTTTTGGTGGATATGTATTGTGGAATTACATTTTAAGGAAGCCATTGTGCCTTATCAAACTAGGTGAGATAATAACCGGAAGTCTTTGTTTACGATCTTATATACCGTATTCGACGTAACAAGCGCCCAGGGCGCTCTCAAAATAAGAAATAGAGGGCTCTTATTAGAGTATTATTTTGGTGGAAAAAACAGAGTTGAAAGATAAATTTCGTGGTTTATGTTCTCAGCCTGAAATGTTTATACACGACAGATATATTTTTCCAGAATTTAATTGCCCATAATTAAGGGTGCATATAACACACGAATGCGTATTATACGCGAATAAATAAGTATTGTGTACATTGATCAATCGGAAGGGGTGCTAATTGGGATTGTTCCACCATATGAGCAAGCATATATGTAAGGTACGTTTCTTATGTTCCCCGCTGGAATTGCCGAACTGATGGCTAACATCGGCAACAATTTTGAATCTCGAATTAATTATGTAATATGCCATTCTCCGAATATTAACGATATTTTTCGAATGAAATTGAGCCAGGGGAATAACATTCATCACCACTCGCCCCTTTCCGTAACCTGCTATTCGGCTTGTCCCGGAATAACGCGAGTTGGTCAGGAATGGGGGAATATAACTGAGTTTGTTTTCTGTCGTCTGCTACTTTGCCTAACTCTGGAATTCGGACATTCATGCAGTATATATATATATTTATTCAGGTGTGCGGTAAGATAAATGAGTTGTGAACTGGTCCCTCGGGGGACATGGGCTGATGTCCCCTCTGTGTTAGTTTATGCTTGCCGTAAAAGGCGACTATGCTTGTCGTAAGAGGCGACTAAGGTATCGGGTGGTCAGGCTCACTGGCTTGGTTGCTACATGTCATCGTATCCCAATTGCGAAGATCGATGCTTATGATGGTTGGATCACTGGTTTGTCTGGTCCAAATTCAATGATTTACAGACCGCCGTCATATAGCTGGAATCTTGCTGAGTGCGGCGTCAAACCACAAACAAACAAACAAACAAACACACACGTTTATGTTGCCATGCCCCCCTCGAGACTGGTGGACAACCTTTTTATGCATAAGACTATGTAAGGCAAAGCCAATTAACAAAGCCACGTACACAAGTGTTGGTGGGAACAGGGTTTGTCTTATCTTGTTCAAGCGTGATGGATCAGTTACCTCCGCCAAATATAGAATACGCCAAGTCATTAGAAATGTCCCGATTTCATTTGTCTTCAATATTTCCCCCCAGATGAATTACTGTTCATTCGAAAATACCAGGACATGATGAAGTATCGAATTCAGCTTTTAACGAACTGGATCTTCGGACTTCAAAGTTCTTGTTGTACCCGGAGTATACACCTGTTACGCTTGTTTTGGTGTGCCTGTAATAAAGATTTCTCTCCTGTGTGACAGCCTCGGGTGGCGAGTGCGACCATCTGAACCAGGTGGATGTGACCAAGTGTGTTCAGTGTGTCACACAGAACACAGACATGATTGTCGGGGTCAAGGTCAGAGTGTCACAGAGTTGCACAGACAATGGCAGGACGGAGGAAGAGGTGTACAGGTAGGGGCATGTGGTGGCTGGTATATGGAAGAGGGACACAGGTAGGGATAAGTAGGGGTGGTATATGGAAGAGGGACACAGGTGGTGGTGGTATATGGAAGAGGGACACAGGTGATGGTGGTATATGGAAGAGGTACACCGGTAGTGGTGGTATGTGGAAGAGGGACACAGGTAGGGGTGGTATATGGTAATGGAACACAGGTAGTGGTGGTATATGGAAAAGGAACACAGGTGGTGGTGTTTAATGGAAGAGGTACACAGGTAGTGGTGGTATATGGAATAGGTACACAGGTAGTGGTGGTATATGGAAGAGCGACACAGGTGGTGGTGGTATATGGAAGAGGGACACAGATGGTGGTGGTATATGGAAGAGGGACAGGTGGTGGTGGTATATGGAAGAGGGACACAGGTGGTGGTGGTATATGGAAGAGGGACACAGGTGGTGGTGGTATATGGAAGAGGGACAGGTGGTGGTGGTATATGGAAGAGGGACACAGGTGGTGGTGGTATATGGAAGAGGTACACAGGTGGGGGTGGTATATGGAAGAGGGACACAGGTGGTGTGGTATATGGAAGAGGGACACAGGTGGTGTGGTATATGGAAGAGGTACACAGGTGGGGGTGGTATAAGGAAGATGGACACAGGTGTTGGTGGTATATGGAAGAGGGACACAGGTGTTGGTGGTATATGGAAGAGGGACACAGGTGGTGGTGGTATATGGAAGAGGGACACAGGTGGTGTGGTATATGGAAGAGGGACACAGGTGGTGGTGGTATATGGAAGATGTCACAGGTGGTGGTGGTATATGGAAGAGGGACACAGGTGGTGTGGTATATGGAAGAGGGACACAGGTGGTGGTGTTATATGGAAGATGTCACAGGTGGTGGTGGTATATGGAAGAGGTACACAGGTGGTGGTGTTATATGGAAGATGTCACAGGTGGTGTGGTATATGGAAGAGGTACACAGGTGGTGGTGGTATATGGAAGAGGTACACAGGTGGTGGTGGTATATGGAAGAGGTACACAGGTGGTGGTGGTATATGGAAGAGGTACACAGGTAGTGGTGGTTAATGGAAGAGGTACACAGGTAGGGTTGGTATATGGAAGAAGTACACAGGTAGGGGTGGTATATGGAAGAGGTACACAGGTAGGGGTGGTATATGGAAGAGGGACAAAGGTAGGGGTGGTATATGGAAGAGGTACACCGGAAGGGGTGGTATATGGAAGAGGTACACAGGAAGGGGTGGTATATGGAAGAGGTACAAAGGTAGGGGTGGTATATGGAAGAGGTACACAGGTAGGGGTGGTATATGGAAGAGGTACACCGGTAGTGGTGGTTAATGGAAGAGGGACACAGGTAGTGGTGGTATATGGAAGAGGTACACAGGTAGGGTTGGTATATGGAATAGGTACACTGGTAGGGGTGGTATATGGAAGAGGTACACAGGTAGGGTTGGTATATGGAATAGGTACACAGGTAGGGGTGGTATATGGAAGAGGTACACAGGTAGGGCTGGTATATGGAAGAGGTACACAGGTTCGGGTGGTATATGGAAGAGGGTGACAGGTAGTGGTGGTATATGCAAGAGGTACACAGGTGGGGTTGGTATATGCAAGAGGTACACAGGTGGGGTTGGTATATGGAAGAGGGTGACAGGTAAGTGTTGGTATATGGAACATTTCTGAATCTTTTCCTGAAATCTATTCTCTCCTCACATATCCCATACCTCAACCTTTTGTTGGCTTCACAAACATTTTATGCCTTCAAGACATATTATGCCAACTGCAAAAAAGAATGATGTGCAGTAAAATCCTTCGCTACTTATAGGGCTTAAAGAGTTGCTGCCCTTTGATCATTCTGTCACTTTGAACGTGACCACTGAAATAATTTGTATCATGAAAACGCACTGAAACAACCCACTGGAAAGGTTATTAACTGACAATGATTGTGTTTCTCCAGAAGAGCCCTGGCTGCCTCTACCGAGAGTGGTGTTCCACTCATGGTCCACCACACTATGTCCACAGTCCCAGTCGCTAAGCAAGAAGGTGGGTGGATTCGATAGTGAGTGAGTGAGTGAGTGAGTGAGTGAGTCCGGTTTTATGTCGCTTTTAGCAATATTCCAGCAATATCACGGCGGGGGACACCAGAAATTGGCTTCACACATTGTACCCATGTCGGGAATCGAACCCAGGTCTTTGACGTGACGAGCGAACGCTTTAACCACAAGGCTCCCCGACCACCCCTCCATGGGTTCAATAGACAAACCAGTGCTTGACAGCATTAGCATTGATACACATTGTTGGGTACGATGACACACAATACTCTCGGGAATGCAAAAGGGAGCAACCATTTGAATTTAAGGTGGTGGGGCGTAGCGGGGATGGATTTTGGCTTCAGAACAGCCTTCTATTAATGTTTAGGAGCTTAATTATATTTTCCAACATAAACATGTGCTCCATTTGTATTTTAAGATTAAATATTTAAATATAAATAACACTATTTATTTTCCTACATTGTGAGACATACATACAGAATGTTTAATTAAAACAGAGGCTTTATTAATTTAGACCCCTGTCCCTCTAAAATCAAATATAATGGTTGCTCCCTTATGAACACCTGACACCCTTGTAAGCTGGTTTGGATACAAGGAACCCGTTCACAAGGGGACAGGCAATTTGAGTTTGGTGGAGAAAAACTGATGGAAGAACAATGATGGTGATTTTCATGTCAATTAAGATTAAAATCATTTAAATAAAACAAGTAATGCCACTAACTGCCACAGTACCCGGGCCATATAATCTCCGCCTCCATTGGTGCAGTGAATAGACCGTCTGCCCGGTGAGTGGAAGGTCGGTGATTCAATCCTCCTGTGGCGTCAAACTGTAAAATGTGGTACTTACTGTTACCCTGTCAGGTACTTTGCATAAAAGGGATAAAACAAGTGTTTGCCGTCTCGGATATACTGTGTCTGAGTGGGGCTTGTACAAGCAATTAACCACACACTTCGCTTTCTGAATGAAATAATCTTGGATCACATTATTAAAACCCCTTTCACCACCACCTAAACACATATTATCTTTGCATTTCCAAGTAATATCAGACCCTCGTGTTTTAAAAATGTCCCATCACTCTTCAATCTCATTAAAATCAGACCTCAGTTCTCGCTACCGCTAAACAAAGATCTGAGGACATCCCATTAGGGGTCACGTCAGAACGACCTTTCATTCGACCAATCAGAACATCGCTTACCAGATTATGAAAGTGACAGTCGGAATGTGATTTCTGATCATGCAGCCTCGAAAACTTTAACTCTGAATGATAGTTCATACAATCTAGACCATCTGTTAGCCAATCCAGAATGTTCTTTTGTTCAGGTTTCAAATTTGTAATTGAGAATTTGTCAAAATATGTTTCGAAGCGTAGTCGCCAATTTGAAATTAGTGCCATAAAGCACGAGAAAGCTGCCTTCTGATTGGTCATTCCATTGGTCGGTCAAAGTTTGCACCAGGTCAGTCTGACGTGACCCGTAATGGGATGTCCTCAGATCTTTGTTTAGCGGTAGCAAGAACTACTATCTGATCTTAATGAGATTGATCACTCTTAATCTCTGTGATTTTTTGTTTAAGATTCACATTTATCATATTCGTTTGTTTTTTCTATAGGCAAACTGTGCTGTCCTTCAGACATGAAGCCCGGTGATATCTACACACACGCCTTCATGCCCCATTTGTCACACATCCTTGACCAGGACAAAAAAGCTGTTCACCCAGATGTATGGGAAGCCAAAAAAAGAGGGATCTATTTCGACATTGGACACGGTGCTGGTTCGTTCGGCTGGACAGTGGCTGAAATATGTACCAAAGAAGGGTTTTGGCCAGACATTATCAGCACTGACCTCCATTGTGAAAGTGTGGACGGTCCGGCATATGACCTAGCAACGGTCATGACCAAGATGTACGCACTTGGAATGCCTCTCAATGATGTCATTGCCTCTGTGACGTCACAACCTGCAGCTGCCATCAAACGATCTAATTGTCTTGGGTCTCTCCAGGTTTGTTTCAAACATATTTTATTATCCCCTGCCCAACAAAGTTGGCGGGGGATATAGAAACGGGCCCCATCCATCCGTCTGTCTGTCACGTTTCGTTTCCGGAGCATAACTCAGAAACCGTTCAATATTTTTTCATGAAACTTTGCAGGTCTGTCAAGTACATGCTGAACTGGTGCCTTTTGCTGTTTAGGAATTTAAGAAATTTTTATTTTTTACGTTTCCATGGCAACAAGATGGACTTAGGTTCCAAACTCTTCTTTTTTTTACAATTTCCATGACAAGTTCCACCTTGGTTAAATAAGGTTAGGGTTTGTTTAGATTTAATTATGTCATAGATTCTGCAACAGGGGCGGGGGATATAGCCAGGTTAGTGGCAAACTCTTGTTTACTTTCAATAGGATTGGGAAAAAGCTCCAGGAGCCTACTTGATCCTTTCCTTTTCAAAAGTACAGAATGGTTCAGTATTATTTACAACAAGCACAATTGGAGACAAAAGCATGGATTAGTTTAAATTTAAAGAAAATATGTACGGCTTTAAAGAGAAATTCACTGACATTGTCATCTGAGTTTGGGTCGCCTTATAGAATAATATTAATGTCAAATTTTATGCTAAATTTGGAAAACTTATGTAATGGTGATCTAGACCTAACAAGAAGATCTAATGTAATGATGACATTCAAGAAAATGTGGAGAACACTGTTTAGAGTCTCAACCACAATTACATACATATAATTTTCAATAAGATTTACCTTGTCGGCTTAAAGATTACTGCATGCAAGCCAAAGTCTTGAATGTAAAATGCTTGCTTTCTTGTTACCCGTCAAGTAAAAACAAGGCACAGTGTTTTGTTTCTGACATATTTTCTGTTGAAGTACTTATATTGAACTTGATCCTGCTGGTACTGTATACTATAGTCATGTAAATCGTAAACTTCATCAGAGAAGAGGGGCGGTCGGGTAGCCTAGTGGTTAAAGCGTTCGCTCGTCACGCCGAAGACCCGGGTTCGATTCCCGACATGGGTACAATGTGTGAAGCTCATATCTGGTGTCCCCTGCCGTGATATTGCTGGAATATTGCTAAAAGCGGCGTAAAAACCATACTCACTCACTCACACTCTTGTTACCCGTCAAGTAAAAACAAGGCACAGTGTTTTGTTTCTGACATATTTTCTGTTGAAGTACTTATATTGAACTTGATCCTGCTGGTACTGATTGAAGTTCATTCCATATATAGCTGCTTCCCCTCTTCTCTCCAGGTAGGAAGAGAGGCTGATATCTCTATGTTGAAGATCGAGGAATGTGACATCGATTTGGAGGACTGCTATGGTCAAATTCGGAAGGTGAAGAAACGGTTTATCCCTGTCGGGGTCTGGCGAAATGGCAAGCGATTCGATGTGTCACCTCACCCAAACTATCCCAACATTGACAGCATCAAACATGGTATAAATGCGTGGGATAGCACCGATGTTCGGGACGCCACTAAACCCTCACTATCGTAGAATAACTGAAATACTGAAACCGACTTCATCGGGCTTCATGTCTGAAGGACAGCACAGTTTGCCTATAGAAAAAACAAATGAATATGATAAATGTGAATCTTAGACAAAAAATCACAGAGATTAAGAGTGATCAATCTCATTAAAATCAGATCTTAGTTCTCGCTACCGCTAAACAAAGATCTTAGGATATCCCATTACGGGTCATGTCAGACCGACCTTGCGCGAACTCTGACCGACCAGTGGAATGGCCAATCAGAAGGCAGCTTTCTCGTGCTTTACTGCACTAATTTCAAATTGGCGACTATGCTTCGAAACATATTTTGACAAATTCTCGATTACAAATTTGAAACCTGAACAAAAGAAATTCTGGAATGGCTAATAGATGGTCTGGATTGTATGGATACAGTCGTTAAACCTGTAACTATTGTTCGGAGTTAAAGTTTTCGAGGCTGCATGATCAGAAATCATCCGACTGTCACGTTCATAATCTGGTAAGCGCTGCTCTGATTGGTCAGATGAAAGGTCGTTCTGACGTGACCCGTAATGGGATGTCCTCAGATCTTTGTTTAGTGGTAGTGAGAACTGAGGTCTGATTTTAATGAGATTGAAACTGACTGTATCTACTTAACAGCTTTTCTGTTCATGCCATCTTTACATGTCTGTCACAATATAAGTTTTTTTATTTTGTTGATAATGTTATAAGTTGGAGAGTACTACTGATGGGAATTTCAAATTTTTCTTCCCCAAGTGATTTAATCAGGAAATAAACATCTGTGTTATCTTTGAATATTAGGTTATCTGTAGAATTTACTTAAGTTTTTGTGAAGACAGAAGATTGATTGTTGGGGGTGTCCCTGCATATCATGATGTCAATGAGGGGCGGTCAGGTAGCCTAGTGGTTAAAGCATTCGCTCGTCACGCCGAAGATCCGGGTTCGATTCCCGACATGGGTACAATGTGTGAAGCCCATTTCTGGTGTCCCCCGCCGTGATATTGCTGGAATATTGCTAAAAGCGGCGTAAAACCATACTCACTCACTCACTCACTCATGATGTCAATGTAGTGATAATTAATATGTATTGATATCAACACTAAATTAATAATTCATTGCAAAATAAATGTTGACATTTGTTAAGATAGACAATTCGAAGGCAGAACATTCCATTTTTAAATGTGATGGATCAGCTAAGTTCATATTTAGCAAGTTGTTTCTCAGCAAGTCTTGATACATCTTCCCGAGGCAAGGGAGTTAACTGACTATAAAAGTCCAGTTTCCACCCTTGCCGAACTAGGCTGGTATTATGGAGTTACATTTTGGCTGAACTAACGATAGTACAATCAAAATCGCGCAACGAAATCAAAATTCGGTTCGTAAACTGTCGTGCAGAATTCAGTCGAGTGCAGGATTTGCAAAGCAATTGCACCAGCAACTTGTCAACAGATATTTTCCAAACCTTTTCATGTTTTTAATCAAAGTGCTCCCGTGATATAGATCTTTATGATCGATCAGATCGTCTTGACTGGGCGCCGCCATTTTGTTTGAAACAAATGCAAGTGATGGAATCTGGACTTTTAAAGTCAGTTAACTCTCTTGCCTCTGGAAGATGGTCTTGATAGTAAATTGTTATTTTTACACATACAGAATATCTAATTTTGTGATTAATCGATGTAATGTGATACTTTGATGCGATATATACCGATGCCATATTTCCAGTCAATGACATCCCCAATGATTATTATTACATATATAGTCAAGAAAGAATGTGCATTACTTGATCTCAGGCAATTACTGCCAAATATTCGATTTATTTTATGATACAACCGTATTTATATTTTATCAAAGGGAAATAAAAATTCTGCCAGTTTATATTGTTTTGTGATATTTATAAAAGTGATAAAGCCAACATTTAGACATTGCCCCTAATAGATGCAATATTGCTGGTGTGGCATAAAACAATCATTGCTCATACTTTATTGTTGTTCATGTGGGGGTTCTGTTTTAGCCTTGGTCCTAATTCTGTGTTAACCTATGACTTTAGAGGTGACCTTATGTCACAGGTGGTCAGACACGGTTGATTGTGTATCCTCGTACTCAAACATTGTGGATCATTGCCCATGATATCACTTACTATGCTGTCGAATCCAGACACAATATAACTGGAATGTTTTGTTGTGACTTGGTGTCTGAAATATCAGTCAGACCGGCTCCGTGGTCCAGTGGTAGAGCGTCCGCCCGGAGAGTGGAAGGTCCGGGGTTAGATCTCTGGCCGCATCATACCAAAAGACGTTAAAAGATGGTACTTGTTGTTACCCTGTCTGGCGCTCGGCATTAAAGGGCTAAACCAAGGACTGGTCGGCTCGGAGTCAGTATACTGTGTCTGAGTGGGGTATTCATGTTAAGCTGCGGCATGGTATCTCAGTGTGCTAGCACTATAAATCGGCATCAGTCCGGACTAGTACCGGTACAAGCAGCCACACACACACACACACACACACACACATGCATGCACGTTGCTATATAAGTGCAATAATCTTGGACACGACGTTAAACCCAATTCCACCTCACCTCACCTGAAATATCAGTCTGTGAGTGAGTGAGTTGGGTTTAACGCCGCTTTTAACACTATTCCAGTTATATCGCGGCATGTCAGCTTAATGTGGGAGGACAGCCCGAAGTGATGCAGGTCTCAGAGATTTACCACTTCGGTGAAACCCACGGGTTTGGTACTGACAAACCTTGAAACATAATCAGGGCAAACCGGGATTCGAACCCAAAATCATAGGTTCCTGGCGTGCCCAAAGGGATGCAACTCTGCACAGTGAATCGCGGTGCCTTAGATGACTGGGCCACCCATGCCCCCAAAATATCAGTAAAAGTGGTGCATGATTAACATGCAAGTTGATGATGTTTGTGCTCATGCATGTTTTTTGTTATTGGGTATGGTCTTTGAAAATCCAACAATAATTATGACGACGCTTTTGGGGGAATATTTACATGGGTGTTATGGAGATGGCGATAATGCCTAAGCCTGGAAAAAGTTTGACTTTCTTCAAGGAAAAGTCAGTGCAAGGTTTGTGTAGAGGAACGGGTTTGACGTTGTTACAAACCAGATAACACTTAACATGATCATTTGTAGGTTGCTACATATTGTTTTCATTCACACTTCTGTGAAAATTATCTATAATTGAACCAACACAGACTGACATCTAGTCCCTAAAATGAACAAAAAACAGTTGTTAAATTATCTTAATAAAAATAGAAAAAAAAAGGAGCCCAGATACTCTCTTCATTTTCATTACTGCAGTAACCTGGACTTGCGAACCATTATAGACTTGCATGGGCTGTATTGGATATACATGTATTTGTATCAGGGTCTGTTTGACAGACTACAACACAAAGCTGTGGCACTTTCTGTTGATAATAACCCTGACAATATTGCCTGAAGCTCCTATAAAATACCTTCAGTCAGTCCGCAGGAAGGCATTTGGAATCTATTGTTAAATTATTGATTTCAGTTTAAAGATATTAGCAACTTGTCGAGTACATTGTATATTCTCAGGAAAATGGGGGGTGTATGTATTTAGACAATATGACAAACTATATTTATAACCATGATTAGACATCCAACCTAAATAACACTTTTACCAGTTATTTGCTTTCTGAGGGGATCATGCATAAACATTTTCCCGAGTCAACATGATCAAATATTATTTCAATTTTAATGAAAATATTTAAAGTATTATTATAATTTAGAGATAGAACAAATCTGAATCCCATTGTGCTACACATTTCCAATTCAAACACTGTTTGATTTCTTACAAAATTCAAATTTTATATTAATTCAATGCTGTGAACAAATGTGATTTCTATTATGGTGCAAGACAACCCAATAAGGTTTCAGCCATATTCCTCAAGCTTGTTCGAACAATGCCATTACTTGAGTTGAACCTTCAAATGATGACTGGATGGTGATGGTGTGTTTCATCAGCAATATTCCACCTGTATAACAGCAGCCTGGAGAACTTGTGGTTGACAGCATGAGCACCGATCCAAGCTGATACTCAGTGATCTAGATATTGAGTGAGTCTGGTTTATTGATGCTTTGAACTGTACTCCTGTTATATCATGGCATGGCATCTTGATGTGGGAGTGAGTGAGTTTGATTTTACGCCGCTTTTAGCATTATTCCAGCAATATCACGGCGGGGGACACCAGAAATGGGCTTCACACATTGTACCCATGTCGGGAATCGAACCTGGGTCTTCGGCGTGACGAGCGAACACTTTAACCACTGGGCTACCCGACCGCCCCTTTCTTGATGTGGGAGCCCAAAGTGATGCAGGTGAAACCTATGCATGGGTATGGTGCTGACAAACCCTAAAACCAATCAGGATGACTGGGATTCGAACCCTCAACAAAGGATGCACTTATGCACAGAGTACTGAAGCGCCATACCCAACCACCCACTGTATCAACCTGATCCTGATAAATGGACTCGGACAATATCATGGGGTCTTGTCCTGGGATACTCTACTTCATGTTAATACAGTATTCATTGCAGTCAAGACTTTGTTGTTTAAAGGGGAAGTGTACACGCAAAAATCACTTTCTTTCTTTTTCTAAACAAAACGCAATTTTAGAATTAATTAGTATCTGTTTGAAAATATACACTCATTTTTTTCACAGTGAAAGTAGGAAGCTCACAAAAGTGTGAAAATGATATGCCGTTATGAGGCCTTCGTTTTTCGAGCTAAACAGGCCTGAGTTATCCCCCTTAGATTATGACGTAATTGGTGCCAATTCAACTGGGTCCCTGTCTATTCTCAACGCAAAAGATATCAAGTACCAGTTTGCGGTAAAACAACATGGCCTACGACACACTCCGGCGCAGTGGTGACTCAGCATAACACTATGCTGGCTGGCATCTGAGACGCTAGAATCACACACCTAGACCTACACCACGTGAAGCGGCTCTAACAAAGCATGATGACGTCATAATGTTTATCAATTGGCACCAATGACGTCATATTGTAAGGGGCATAAGCCATGGTGTTTTTGTTGTGGAAATAGAACACTTGGTAAATGTGAAAAATATAAATCGTTTTAATTCGAAAAATATGTTAATTAATTGTGATATTTTTATATTTTTGTCTATGACACTTCTAGGTTAACACTTTTAATGTGGAAAAAGTACAAGAAAAATAGGTTAAT